ATAAGCTATAATGATCTCAAAAGACGCATGTGGAAAGATCAAAACCTCATGGAAAAGCTCAAGAAACAGAAAGGTCGATCCAACAACGACGTCCTTACGTTGACAACGCACCGAGCCGAAGCTTCGCGGCGCAAGAAGATGGCTCGTTCACAAGATTCGGTGTTGAAGTACATGATGAAGATCATGGAGGTGTGTAAAGCGAAAGGCTTTGTCTACGGAATCGTACCGGAAAAGGGTAAACCAATAACCGGTTCTTCCGATAGCTTAAGACGTTGGTGGAAAGAAAACGTTCAGTTCGACCAAACCGCTCCAGACGCTATTTCCGATTACTTAACACTCGCGGCGGCTGAGCTAATCGAGAAGAATCCATTATCATCGGCTAGCTTATTGCACATGCTACAAGAGTTACAAGATACGACTCTAGGGTCGTTATTATCTGCGTTAATGCAACATTGCGCGCCACCACAACGGCGTTTTCCTTTAGAGAAAGGAATCGCGCCACCGTGGTGGCCGACAGGGACGGAGGTTTGGTGGGGAGAGCAAGGATCTGCGGCTTTCGAGCACGGTCCACCACCATATCGAAAGCCGCACGATTTAAGGAAATCTTGGAAAGTTAGCGTCCTCGCGGCTGTGATTAAACACATGTCGCCGAATTTGGGAAGAGTGAGACGTCTCGCGAGGCAATCGAAATGTTTGCAAGATAAGATGATGGCTAAAGAGACAGATACTTGGTCTCGTGTCTTAAACCAAGAAGAGGCTCTTCTCAATATAAAAGACCTCAAGATTTCGGAAGATCAAGATCAAGAAGCGTCCGGGTCTAAGAGAAAATTTCATGATGTCATGGAACCTTCTAAGAGTGTTTACACTTGCCAAAACTCGAGCTGTCCTAAGAGTGATGCGAGTTTTGGATTTGTGGACAAGAACTCGAGGACGGGTCACGAGATCCAGTGTCTATACGGGTCTTCGTCGACCCAAGAACCGAGCCAAAACACGGGAGATACAATCTCCGTGCTTGAAAGGGCTCCGAGTATTGTTACTAATTCAACTAGTGAAGATGATTACAGTGTGAGCTCGAGTGCAATGGACAATCGAGATGGTGATGATCATAGCAATAATGGGAGTTGGATGGATTATCTATGGTACGAGAGGATGCAACATGAGTTAAATTGCTCTAACAGATTC